GAAGTATCCCCTACGTCTATACCAAATTTTATTAAGATCCGTTCAGCCGTTTAGGCTACAAACTCTAATAAACATCCATCCATCTAAACTTACGCATTTATAATATTAGTATGATTAGTAGGATATTATTTGAAATTATTGTGATACTATTTTTTTATCTGTTATGATTTATGTTTATGATATATGTTTACAATAAGAAATGCTTATTGTATTTAAAAAAAACTAAGATATTAAAATATAAGAATTATATTAATTAACCAATAAAAACAAACTCACAGTAAGATTATTAAAATAATTATAATACTTACTACCATAATTAATAGCGTTATTTATTACGCACGCAAACTTCATTGGAATATTATAATTATTGTTTTCGAACGCTATTCTTTGTAAATTTACGTTAGCTCTATTCTAACTAATATTATTACATTGGCTTTTTATTAGAATCTTAAGAGGTAAATACAAAGTGAATTTCAAGGAAAAAAGTTAATATTTGCATTTTTAAGAAATGAAAAAATCTTATATCGTTGTTTAGGAAATTCACTTCAGTTCCTTCTTACAATTAAAACATTAAAGTAAAAGGAAAAAATGATCATAAAATCCTTTTTAACAGCTAAAGCTGTCGTAAATTTTGATGGACCTTAAATTTGCAGTTAAACGGAAATGGAATTTTATCACCAATCGTCTTGAGTGGGGCCATTGCGTTAAGTTTTATTTCATACAGTAATTAAATAAAATTAAATTTTCGGAATGTCCTTTCTGTTCGTTTATTGCTCTGTGGTGTTATAACATTTTTGGCAATTTAACTGTTACGTTGCCTACTTAATTTGTCAGAAGACCTCAATTAAATTGGATATAAATTTAGTTTATTAAATTCTACTTTTAAATAGAGTAGGAATTAAGCAATTTGTTTTAACATTTGAGTTTAATTTAATTTTATATTGAGTTTGAAAACGATTTGTTTAAACGGTTATTGTTTCGAATTTAATTACTTTATAAGGGGTTACAGTTTTTGGCATTTATTTCGGTGAATTACATTCCATTTTATCAATAAATTTATACAATTACTTCTGGGCAAATGGGCCGGCAGTGAAAATTAAACAATTTTGTCAGTAAATTTCTCTGAACATGGCGTAATTATTTTCATTTTAAAATATCCTGTTAAAAGTTTTAAGTTGTAGATAATTAACAGAGATGAAAAAGTTGAGTTAAGTTCAGTTTACAGATTCTCCTTGTAACATGCGATTCATCCCTTCAAATTAATCAGAACAGTAAAGAAATAAATTTTTTAATAATAGAAATATTTTAATATTTAGTTTTACAATCTCTGAATAACATTTAAAAATAAACCTTAGTATATAAATAAAACCGTATTACAAAAAGAACATCCAAGTTTAATGGCAACATTTATTGTTGCATTGGAATCATTAAAAATATTAAAAGCGAATGTGATCTTTTTTAAACCTATCGAAAGCGTAATGGATTCAAAACTTTTTAAGTTTATTTTTAAATTGATCTTGTCTTCATTTCGCTTACTTTGTATTGTTTGTGTTTTTATTATAATACTAGCTGTTCCCGTGCGGCTTCATCCGCATGAAATTACAAAAACTTTATTTTATTGTTTACATTATGTCAAATAATCAATTGCAAATGTCAAAATACCAACAATTACCTTACTATGGCAATTTTGCTTTCTTGATGTTGGCAGCAACTTATAGTCTCTTTCCCACATTAGGGATTTTATTCAAAATATTTAACCCCTAATTTTAATGGCGTTAAAATATATAGTCTAAAGCGTGACGCAAGTGTAGGGTTTTTTATTAAAAAAAAGAATTATTTAAAAATATGCTGTAATTGCTGACATCTTAGACAACAAAGTGTGTGTTTATGCTTTATTATAATAGTATAGAAGTATAGATTATGATGCGAATGGTTTAGTAATGATTCGTGTTTAGCGGTTTTTGTACTAACAATAACTATAATTTTTAAAGTAAATTTGATGAAGGTTTACATGATTTTTTTTTACATTTATAAAACACTAGTTTGTACACGCGACGTCAGTGATATTAAAAAAAATGTTCCAATTTTGTTATACGAGTACTAGTTGTGCTTGCAATTTCGTGCAGTGAAATTTCAAAATATAGCCTATGTTACCCAGTAGTTTTTGAGTTATTTCAATACATACAAAAATACAAATCTTTCTTCTATGTAATGATAGTAAAGATTTGCCAAATTTAATCGATATTTGTTGCGGACGAACCTTCTTACAAACATCGAACCCTTAAAATATGGTATTTTTTATTTGTTTGCCACCTTATATTATAAAAAAAATATGATTTTAACGTGACCTTTCTTTAACCAACGTATAAATTCTATTATAATAAATAGGCATTTGTAAACAAACTATAAAACAGCAGTGGATGATGTAAGGAAAATTACCTTAGAGTTTACAACATTTACAATACGCTTCAAACTCCAACAGCGTTTATTCATTCAATATTAAAAACAGAAGTGCTAAACAGTTTATTAAAAGTCATATAGTGACAAATCAACGCATCTTATCTCGGATAGTGCATCTTCACTTTAACATATAAATATTTAAAACTAATTTACGTTGATTTTAGTATCCCATACATATTTATAAGTAATTTATAACGTATAGACTCACTGTTAGTCTCAAATATATGCATACATTTAAATATCTGAGGTATATTTTTTATTTAGTATCTAAACAGCTGATTTTTATTGTCTATGAAATTTATTACCTACCAGTGACTAGATTTTTATCTATTTGTATTATTATCGAAATAATAACAATCTATTTTAAGTAAAATTATGCTTATACATTTTTTTTTAAGAAATATAAACGATTGATTTATAACATTTTAGGTCATTAAAATATGTAATCTATACCATAATGTTATAAAAAGGAAAGATTTGTATTTTTGTATGTATTGAAATAACTCAAAAACCACTGGACCGATTTCAAAAATTCTTTCACCATTAGAAAGTAAATTTATCTGTGAGTAACATAGGGTATATTTTACAATTTATTAAATTTTACGCCGGCGAAGTCGCGAGCAACAGCTAGTTTATTATATGATACTAATGTTATAAATGCAAAAGTTTGGATAGATGGATGTTTGTATATATCTCAAAACCGACTTAACGAAACAATGAATTTGCTCAAATGTAGAACAGTCTAGAAAAACACACTAAGTTTTGAATTCCGCGAACGAAATCGCGGGTAAAAGTTACACAAATTTATCGTTAGTTATTCCAGTAGATTATCGTCAATATTTAAAAACAAAATTAGGAATTTAGTAATATTTATTAAAATGTATAATTATCTATACAAATATTATAAAGAGAAAAGATTTTTGTATGTATTGAACTCAAAAACTACTGGGTCAATTACAGAAAATCTTTCACTATAAAAATCATCAGTGAGTGACATAGAACATTATTTATGTTTTTTATTCCTTTTTAATATCACGCGAACAATAGCTAGTGTGATATATTGTATAATTAAATCTGAAATGTCTCATATGTAATACACTATTAAAGGAAGTCAGTACAAGTAACGATATACCCTTAAAAGTTCTTCCTGTTAAGAAATATGACTCAATCATGTATGTCTGTAAAAAGCGTCGATGGCTCAGTGGGTTAGCACTTGACTTGTAATCTACAGGTCTCTGGTTCGAATCCCGCCATGTACCAATTTTCGATTATATACATAATTTACCCGACGTTCTTATGTTCATCACTACACATCTCGGCGAAGAAATTCAAAGATATGTGTGAAGTCAAACAACCTGCAATTGGGCCAGCGTGGTTAACTATAGCCTAGTCATCCTAATTTAGGGAAGGCTCCGAGCCCTTCGCTGGGGACGTATTAGTGAGCTGGTGATGATTGTGTGTCTGTTAAATATATATGGAACTAGCTTTTGCCTGACTTCACCCGCGCGGAATGAAAAGTGCTAAGTAAAAAACCTATGTTTTCTAGATTATGGTTTATATCTGTGTTAAATTTTCATCGAAATCCGTTAAAGCCGTTTTGAAGATACTACGTCCATTCATCCATCCAAAATTTCGAATTTACAATTTATAATAGTATTGTCTATAAATATTATGGTCAAGATATTAACATATCGCATACCTTCAATATCCTTTAGTAGTAATGATTGTTTTAAATTCATTCGATATTTTATCCTCGTAAAGTAAATGAGTGTTATTAAAACTTATTGATGGTCATTTTTTCTTGTTTAGAATTTTTATAGATATACTAACTTTTATCCTCGACTCTGTCCGTGTGAAATTAAATAAAACAAAAGTAACTACCTCATGTGTTCTTCCAGACTATACTCTACATCTATGCTAAATTTCGTTGATATCCGTTTAGTCGTTTAGGCGGCAAACTCTAACAAACATCTATCAAAACTTTCGCATTTATTATATTAGTAAAGTAATATCAAATTCAACTATAAAAAAAATATTTATTTCGATCTATTAAGTAATTATAAAAAAAATTACCTTTTAAAATTTGATGATGCGTTTGCGATTTTTTTTTATTCTTATCTCAATACGAGGTATTTGACACTGAATAGAAAAAACACTGGCACACACTAAAAAGTACCGTTCACTAATAGATGACGAAAAAATTATCGATGTTCGAACGGAGAGCGAAGACACGTCCGTTCGTCACAAACTCCCAGCATCCACTAACGTTTTACAACGAAATGGACCAATATCATTGCTTGCATTTACAAGTATCATTCAGTACTTCAGTAACAATCACATCTATATCATAAACAAACGTGATGAAATAACTCGGATCTTTTCCACAGTTAAAACTTCGCTTAACTTTTAGTATTGCATGGTTTTTAATGTTGTCATTCGTCACCATTTCTGGAGGCGGTTTTCAATAAAATGCAGTGATGAAAGTATAGACGTCAAACTTGTCAGGGAAGTTTTTTTTAATTTCGCAGTGAAACTGGCCATTCGCACAATTGTAATCCGTTATTTAACTGACACTGATTTGGACGATATCGGTCGATATAGCCAGTAATATTTATTGAACCGATATATCTTCCTAAAATTTGTCTAAATAAGATAGATTAATTTGATAAATGACGCATATGAAGTATCGAATTCAATTGATTACATTGCACAACACACGCATAGCGAACAATTTTGAACTATCGATATTCGGTTTAAAATAATTATCAAACTCAACTAAAATTATTATGTTCTTATTCACTAATTTAGAGTATAATTCTAGTATTGATTATAGCGTAGACAATTTAGTGATGACAGAAATAATAGCGAAATCCATTTTGATTACATAGGGCTGTAGTAGTAATAAGCATGTATTTACTGTCATAATTTGTTACTTTTTTATTTCGTAAGTTATAACTATAAATATATCGATTCCAACTTCTATAAGAATAAAAATCGAAAATCTTGTCTGATTTTATAAAACCCATCCCTACTAAATTTGAAACGAATTGTCAAACTAATCTAAAATATTTAGACAAACTATAGGTATCTAATTAATTGCGTACTTTTAATTTGCCGTTTTTTAGCGTAAACGGCTTATTAATTTTGAAGTACGAGGTGATTTAATTCGTGACCCAAGACATTGTTACTGTTAGACGAATATTTTGATTTTTAAAATTCATTTCAGGGAATTTGGTTATATTTGTATTCTCAATATTATGTAAAGTCATGTCATACTATATTCTGTTTATGTAATTAGACACAGTTCACGGCATACATTTGGAAGTACTTTTTAGAATACGTCTAATGCTGGGTTTCTGAAGTTTAGATTTATTTTAAAGTTACATAACGACTCTTAAGTCTAAGGATATGTTTCAACAGAGTAAAACTCAAATTACGTAGTTCGGAAATGAACATCATGAATTTATAGAACCAAAAATACTAACGAATGGTTAAAAAGCTGGGAAATCGGCTATAAGTGAAATTTAGAATAATTACATTCCAAAGCTAATGATGATCCAGTCGTCTTGCCTCGGATGTCTTACTGCGATATTAGATACCTAAGAAATGTAAGGAATCCCAGATCTGTTTATGTGAAAAATTCCTACTCTCTGTCTATACCTCTTAGTTTAATATAATGTGCATTAGTATAACAATCTGTGAGTTTTGGCGATGCAATTAAGACTCGTGTTTTAACGATGGATGTTAAATGTCACGGTTTTTGACAAGTCTGCCTCTTGATGTGTCATGACACTAATATCGACAGGTTAATGTGTTCGATATCGAAGTTATAGTGCGACGAACCTATTTGACCCGGTGTGTTTTGCTACCTTGTTAAGTTTTATCAGATAATGTAAAACTTACTTAAGTATAGAAAATTACATATAGTACGAAAGGAATCGTGGACTACTTTTTTGATATTAACAGTGGTACAGCCCGCTTTAACATCTTCGCACGAATGGGCCGGCTCACCCGGTGTAATGCCACAACAACACAGAAAAGAAGCGTGAAGTGGAAGCAATTCCGTGTTTCATCTGAGGAGTGTAGTGCCGTAGGCCTCATTTAAGTCCCTTTCTCTTTACCATCCTTTTCTTATAAGGAGAGGTTGGGAAGGGGAAGTGGATTTGACGGTGGAGGAGATGCATAGGAAGGGGAAATATCCTATTTATGTGCGTCTCCTCCTCCGTCGTATAAGGGTAAGTAACGCATCTGCAATTGCGGATGGCTGGTCTGCGGTCGCTTCGCCATTTTGGCGGATTCTAGTGGCCGCTTGCTCGTTTGCCACCTTATATTATAAAAAAAAGAAATTGCTAATGAGGTATTGTGATTCAGTACACTTATGTTTACCGGGTCATATAAGTTAGTCGGACTGTACTAAATAAATCAACACTTTATTACCCCGATTGGCTACGAAATTGACCATCATTGGATGTTGCCACATTAATGTCCAACAAGCGAATTGTCTCTGATTGCTGTTTATTAAGGAAATATATTTTATTTATGGCAATCTAAATGTAATTTACAAATTTTGATATCTAGAATTCTTTGATGACACCCATTCATGTTTATTTTTAACTTATCTCCGGGATAATGCAACGATATATAAAATATGTGTATAATACATCGTAATATTTTATTAGAAAAATGGTTTAATTGAGAAATGGTTCGGCTGTCCTTGCCTAGATTAGAGCACGTCCGTTCCTCGTTCACTCCTACCTACGTTTAATTTTTTTTTTAATCTATACTATAATCAAGAGGAATTTGTATTTTTGTACTTTTGTATGTATTAAGATAACTCAAAAACTACTGAGCCGATTTTAAAAATTCTTTCACCGTTAGAAAGGTCCATCCATGAGTAACATTTTTGAATTACATTTAAATTTCACTCGGATGAAGTCGCGAGCAACAACTAGTTGTCTATAATATTAGGCAATGCTATATTTCAAGTACATTGTTAGATAGTTAATTTAATTATATTGTAAGATTTTTACTAAAAATTATAGAACATTTTTAAATTCCTGTAAGTTTTAGTAAACCAAAAGACATAGGTATTTCTAATTAATAGTATTATTTCATCATCATCATCATCAGCTCGTTGTCATACGTCCCCACCGAGGGGTGTGGAGCATACCCTAAGTTAGGGTGACTAGGCCATAGTCAACTACGATGTTTTCCTTCACCGTAAGAACGTCGGGTACATATGAAAATTTGAAAATATCGAAAATCACATTAGTTCATGGCGGGATTCGAACCCAAGACCTGTAGATTACAAGTCAACTGCTTAAACCACTGACCCACCTACGCTCTTAGTGATATTTATTTTAAAGTAATTCATGTGTTAATTACTGTCACTAGTTATGTATTTTGTATATCTGTATTTAATCTTTATTTAAAGAATGTGGTTTATTTATCTTTGAATTAACGTAGGCTCCGGTGTGATGTGATTTTGTTTTTAGGTTATTGCCATTATAGGGCTATCAGTGGTGACAAATTTATAAGGTGGTCTTTTATGGATTCGCATTAACGGTAATAAAAGTTGATGCGAACTAAAGGAAGTGATAACTTAATACTATTTTATGGTGATCTAAGCAGAGTGCCCGTTGATGTCTTTTATATGGGACTAGTCCTAACTGTAACTTGACGCTTAAGATGTCTTACAATTAAAAACTTAAGTATTTATATGAAACAAAAGATTAAATGAGATCTAGGTAAAGAATTTATATACATATTTGGTTTTATATGGAAATAATACAGGCAGGGGAAAGACAACCGGATTAATTTTAATAAAAATATTCGTATTAAGCTTTACAAGTGTAAGGAGAAAACAAACGCCAATTCACATGCGGGTGTGTACTTTTATGTATTTTAGTTAGCCTATCTATTGATGCGTGTTGCATGTCTTTGATTTAAATGTATATATTTTCAGAAGATAATTAATAGGTTAGCTTCAGAGGGTAAGATTTTAAAATGTTATCAAACTTATAACTAATATTATTAATGCGAAAGTTTAGATGGATGGATGGATGTTTGTTAGAGTTTGTAGCCTAAACTGCTGAATGGATCTAGATGAAGTTTGGCACAGATGTAGAGAATAGTCTGGAAGAATATAATAGTCTGGAGAATTGTCTGGCTTTTTACTTTTTTATTCCACGCGAACGGAGTGGCAGGCGAAAGCTAATAGTTTACATTATATCTATACTAATATAATAAAGCGTAAACACACACTTCTTTGTTGCCTAAAATGTCGGTAATTACAGCATGTTTTTGAGTAATTCCTCTTTTAATAAAACACTACACTTACGTCACGCTTTAGGCTACATATTTTCATGCCATTAAACTTAGGGGGTAAATATTTTGGATAAAAACCCTAATGTGGGAATTAGACCATAAGTTGCTGCTAACATCAAGAAAGCAAATTGTCATAGTAAGGTAATTGGTATTTTGACATTTGCAATTAATTATTTGACACATGTAAACAACAAAATAAATTTTTCACAATTTTATGCGGATGAAGTCGCACGGGAATAGCTAGTATGTAATAAAATCTAAAGAGGACATTTATTTTTATAAAGAATTCATAGTTATCATATTATATAAAATAGACTTTAGAAGTACTTTAATTTGATAAAGCGTTTAGAAATATCTAAATGTCCTAGCTATTAATCTCTGATAGCCATCACGTATAAAATATTCGCGAAACAAAAGCCATATAAGAAGCGCGGTCAACGACTTGTCCCGATGTCAACTCACTTGTTCCAACCTTTTTCTCAACTCGACTTATGTATAAAAAAAGAACGTCTGAGCTAATGTTTGTCAGTAAAGCCTGCATAAACCAACGTCTAGAGTATATATTTTGTCGCCACTTGTAGTATATGACCTAGGTAGTTCTTAAAACTTTTTTTGTGATAATTAAATCAAGTTTTAAATGACGTGGAGAGGAAAAAGTGTATACGACTCAATTGGCTAGATAGTATACTAGTATAGTATCTGAAATCGATTGCTTTGACGAACAATGTTACATTGTAAAATATGGGATCTTTCCTTTGGGAATAAGTTATGTAAGTTATGTTATGTTTGTCTTTATAAAATAATGTTTAAGGGAATTCTAACTTCAATTAGTGATTTTATCTTAAGCATTATGTTAACAATGTTTATTGGAGCTTTTTATTTATTTGTTTACATAACGTAATGCTAACAAGTTATCTTTAAGTTACGACATTTTAATACCTTTAAACTTACGATTTTAAGTCGCGAAAGCTTTCGATATTTTATAGTTAATTCAACACAATCTGTGTATTTACGATAATTTACTCTAAACGCAAGCTGTGTGATCATGGATAGATTGATTG